TAATGGTGAAATCTGGATTGTTTGTTTTTTTTTTTTTTTTTGTCATTGAGCAAAAAAACTGTGATGGTCTTTAGAGCAAAGGAAATATAATTTCTTAGCTATTCAGTTAAATGTGAAATGACTTGGCATTGCCTCTAATACATTGTAATTTCTTTATCTTCCTTAATTTTTGAAGCTGGAATTACAGACATTGCAAAAATAAAAGCAACTGCTGATATAAGTTTTCTTCAGTTGAATCGATGCCGGTGTTTTATCACAGAAGTAATTCTCTCAGCAAGTACTATCTGCAAGATTGAGCCTGCAGCCAGGTCCTAACATCGCTGCAGAGATGGGAATTTTTATGACAAGATAACTCCTAACCACAGAGCGAGACACCAGCTGACAGGAAATATTTTTATGGAAAGCGGATAGATAAGATCCTTAGCAGCTGTAACTGCATTCTCAAGGTAGGTGCCACCTGGCCTACCATTTCATATGAAAACTCCTAGGGACACAAACCCTGTAAATTCAAAGCTCTGCACCCTCTTTTCCTCACACAAAGCCAAGCTGTTCTTGGAGTCCTCTTTCCAACCAGTGTTTTCAAGACTTCAAGGTATCCAACAGTTCTGTCTACTAAGAATTTGGGCAGGGTTTTCATGAAATCCTATTTGCATTCATCAAAGGGTTACCAAGCTGGTGATGTCTGGAATGAAATTTTCTTTCACTGGAAAATTTCTGAACAGCTGTTCTCCCAGCAACCTCTGTTTCTAAAGCTGCCTGTACGAAGCTCTAATCTCCGAAATTGAAGAACCCAGATGATAGATGAATACAAAATTTTGGAACTAATATGGTGCATGCTGATCTTAGCTCGAACACTAGTCTTTGATGTATCACATCCTCTAGCCATCATCGGATAACTGCCTATTTTTGCTGGCTATTTCAATTGTGAGCTCTTTCAGGGATAGATGTCTCCCTCATTTTTCACACTTAGCACTTTTTAAAACTCTTTAATAATTGCCCTTGTTACTTTCATGAAAGTCTTGTGACTGAAAGGAGAGAAGGTTTTCCTCCAGCTTTGGGGTCCAATTCTGGCAGCACTCTGTGCCTTTCCTCCAGGCACATCCCTTTTACTCAGCCCTTAGGTAGTTTAGATTATAGGAGAGGTAAGAGAATATCTTTAGCAAGTAATTAATATACAATGTGGAATTTACTTGCTCCTGATCTGATATGGGAGAACATTTTTTAAGGCCTTATTCAGCTACAATTTAGATTTTGTGAGGTCCCCAGGGTCACTGTTTATTTTCCAGGACAGAGTCAATTTGCTGATGTCTGTGTGATGGAGTTTTTTCAGAGTACCAAAATTAAAAAAAAAAAGAATACACAGGACATTATCAGTTTAGAAACATTCTGCTTGAGTGGTGAAGACAAAATGGTAATGGTCTCCTCTAAAGTATATCTAAAGATCCAGAAGTGATATCTTTTACAGCAGCCCAACCATGTTGATTTATGAGGTTTGCACACAATTTACCAAGTGTTTATCCTTTCACAGGGCAGGCTATGCAAGCAGACTCAGGCACTAGCTTTGTGCTCGTTTCCCAATTCACAGGAAATGTGTAGTACTGAATCACAATTGATTCCTCAGAGGGAATTTAGGATGACTTAAATGTTTGTAGTACAGTGTTAACAGGGACAAATGGCTATTAAAGGTGATTTTGTGTATGTACTGAGAAAAAATAACTTTTGTTCTCCATTTTATTTTAATTTCTCCACAATCAGAAAAGCTCTACACTGTTTTATCAAGTACAAACACAGCAGAAATCCTAATTATGAAAGAAGTCTGTAATAAATCAGAAATCTCCACATTAAAAAAGTGATTTATAATTTGAAGAATGTGTAGAAAAGCTGTGTAGAGTTCTGTGAGTCAGGGTCCCAAATGCTAGAGAAATGTGCCTATCATGAGGACCATCACTGGGCACATAGACTTGTGCAATACAGTTTGTCTTCCCCATGATAAAGTTTCGGGTCCCTGAATGCAAGCATAGTTGAACTTTTAAGAAAGTGATGGTCAACGCTAGATGCCCATGATAGGACAGAGGATATTACAATGTTACTGCAATATAGCATGCAGAGTGATTTGCAGTAGCCTGCAAGTTCCTTTATTAGCAGAGAAGAGCTGGTACTGGCAGGTACTGACAGGCTATCTGATCAAGTTTTTAAAAATGAAAGGAGAAAGGATGTTGATACCCTAGTAGTGGTGAAATATCTTCAGGCATTTTTCAAGGTCTTGGTGTCTATTTCAGAACAAAAGCTAGCTCAGAAACATGTGTGTTGGCCAGTGACCTGCTATGGCACAGCTCGGTCTCAACCATGGTCTGGCCTGTCCTGAGATGGAGGACCATGACTGCAAGAATGATCAACTCCCAGTAGACCCTGAAACTGTGCAGGATCTGCTGCTCTAGCTAGAACCTTACAAATCTATGAGACCTGATGGGATTCATCCCAGAATCCTCAAAGATCTAGCTGCTGTCATCACAAAACCTCTCTCGATGATTTTTGAGCAGTATTGGAAGTCCGGAGAAGTCCCATCTGACTGGAAGCTGACGAATGTTGTCCCTATTTTCAAGAAGGGAAAGAAGGAGGACCCCAGAAATGACACACCTGTCAGTCTCACTTCAGTGCCAGGTAAAGTTATGGAGAAGATTATTTTGGAAGGTATTGAAAAGCACCTGAAAGACAATGCTGTCATCAGTCAGAGCCAGCCCAGCTTCATGAGAGGAAAGTCCTGCTTATCAAACCCAATTTCCTTTTATGACAAGATAACCCACCTAGTTGATCAAGGGAAACCACTTGATGTCATCTTTTTGCATTTCAGTACAGCTCTCAATACTGTTTCTCACAGGAGCCTTCTGAACAAAATGTCCAGCACACAGCTGGATAAACACATCATGTGGTGGGTGAGCAATTGGCTCATGGTTGAGCACAGAGGGTAATACTGAATGGGATAACATCAGATTGGATACCTGTCATGGGGCTCCATCTTAGGCCCTTTTATCTTCAACATCTTCATAAATGACTTGGACACAGGACTGGAATCACAGAATGACAGAATCAACCAGGTTGGAAAAGACTTCCAAGATCATAAAGTCCAACCCTTCATCCAACACCGCTGTGGTTACTAGACCATGGCACTAAGTGCCACATCTGGTCTCATCTTAAAAACCTCCAGGGATGGACAATCCACCACTTCCCTGGGCAGCCCATTCCAATGCCTGATTACCCTTTCTGTAAAGAATTTCTTCCTAATATCCAAACTAAACCTCCATTGGCATAGCTTAAGACCATGCCCTCTTGTCCTACTGCTGGTTGCCTGGGAGAAGAGACCAACCCCCACCTGGCTACAACCTCCTTTCAGGGAGTTGTAGAGAGTGATGAGGTCTCCCCTGAGCCTCCTCTTCTCCAGGCTGAACGACCCCAGCTCCCTCAGCCTCTCCTCATAGGACTTGTGCTTGAGTCCCTTCACCAGCCTCGTTGCACTGGTGTGGCCTCATCTTGAATATTGTGTGCAGTTTTGGGCACCACAATATAAGAAAGATATTAAGCTATTAGAGAGTGCCCAAAGGAAGGCAACAAAGATGGTGAAGGGCCTTGAGGGGAAGCTGTATGAGGAGTGGCTGAGGTCACTTGGTCTGCTCAGCCTGGAAAAGAGGAGACAGGGGAGACCTCACTGCAATCTACAACTTCCTCGTGAGGGGAAGAGGAAGGACAGACAGTGATCTCTTCTCTATGGTGACCAGTGACAGAATCTGAGGGAATGGCCTGAAGTTATGTCAGGGGAGGTTTAGGGTGGATACTAGAAAAATAGTCTTCACCCAGAGGGTAGTTGGGTACTGGAACAGACTCCCCAGGGAAGTAGTCACAGCACCAAGCCTGACAGATTTCAAGAAGTGTTTAGATGATACTCTCAGACACATGGTGTGACTCTTGGGAATGGTCCTGTGCGGTGCTAAGGGTTGGACTAGATGATCTTTGTGGATCCCTTCAAACTTGGCGTATTCTGTGATATAAAGATGTTGAATATGCTAAAATACAAAAATTCAGATGTCACTTCTAGTCTGGAGTTGACTTCCATCATTTTGTTAAAAGATAAAGCATTAAGAATCACATTGCTGGGAAAAAAGTGAAAAGTCAGAAGAGGGCAAATTGAGTGTTCACCTTTGATTTTTTCTTGAAACTATAAACTGCAAATTTTTCTATATTTTTCTGTGTGTCTTAAGCCAATATGAGAATATTGTCCTACAGAGTGCCTGACTAATTCAAACATAGGACAGAAATTTAATAACTTGTTCTCTTCCACCCTCTGTAGGTAATGCAGTATAATGATTTGAAGTTGGTGTAAATCCCAGCCTGCATGTATGTTCAAACACTTGTTGGAATCACTGAACTGAGACCTTCTTATTGATAAACATTCTGATTAATATTCTTCCTGAAGTGGACTCCACAGTGTATCTGCGATGAGAATGCTTCTGAGTTATTTCAGTGAAATACAAGTCAAGTCAGAAAAACAGATGCATTAAACAAAAATATCATGTCTTCATCCTCATTTTCTCATTAGCAACTGACTGTGATTTACTATAATATCTTATTTTATTATCTTCCAGAAAAAGATGTGCATATTTTCTAAAGAATAAAGGGAATTCACATGTCTTGCAGAGGTATCTTGTTGGAGTCAAAGACACATGCTTGAAATTATTAGGCCTCACCTCTTTTAACTTAATGAATAAAGCATAAAAATAACATGAGAAAGAATAAGTCAATCTGATGAAAATTGGATGCTTGGAAATAAAAGAAAAAGATGCCATAGTGCGATAGGCACTGCTCTGCTTAAATATGAGTTCTTGAAAATTTATTAACTGCATGCAGCTACTCTGTGTCTTTTCTATTGAGGCTGTTTTGTTATCCTGAGGCACTCACCTTCACAAGAAAGACTGTAGGAAAGCTTCAAACAGCCAACTCATCATCATTTTCAGGAGAAGCTATTTGCCATTTCACAGCCAAATCCTGGAGGAAGTAGCAGGGAGCTGATGAATATGGGAGCCTGCTGGTGGGACACACAGGTGCTCAGGATGGTGAGTGAATACCAACAAGAAGAAAAGGAGCGAGAGTGGGGCAAAAAATCTTGCTATTGGAAATAAATGGAAAAAGGAAGTTACCGTGAAGGAAGGAGGGAAAATTTGATTTTATCTTTTCAATACATTCAAACTTCATATTTTTTCCTTATGAAAAGAAAGAACAAAACCTCATTCTAGTAATGATTCATGAGGCATTAAAAATATCTGATTATACATCTCCAAGACAGTGAGCAGTGGTGCTCTTGGAATTACTTAAAAAGCTGAATGGTATATCTAAATGTCCCTCTGTAGCGGGATAATGGTGCTCTTTGTAGTAAACACAATATTCCGTTGATACATGCTATTTAATTTTAGGTGACAAGTTTTGTGCAGTCACAGGGAAAAGCCTAGGCATTTGTCTAGAGAAAGAAGAAAGGACCCTGTAGCACGTGAAAAGACAATTGTAATGATGTGCATAGAACAGCTCTAAGAATAATTATTATATTGTTGACATAGTAGAAATCTTAAAGTACTTCCTGTTTCAGTCAGAAAAAAATATCTTCTTACTAGAATAACAATCTCCAAAGATTTTTTTCTGATTGAATATCTCATCCTCTATTTTTAGTGGAAAATATTTGGTCTATCCTCCTAGAAACATTGGAAGATATCCCAGTGGAGGTGAGACACCTTGGAGAAGACAGTGAGGCCAAGAGATCACATCAAAAGGTAGATGGGGTGGTCGGTGGTGATTTATGAAGGTGAGGAAGGAGACAAGGGCTAAGGGTATGGAAATATGGAGTCACTAAGCTGTTTTCACAGAAACTTCAACGAGTTGTGTGCTAGTTTTCTTATAATTGCTGCTTTTCCTTGACGTTACCCTCCTGTGGTACCTTTCTGTCCTTACCCCCTATGAGAAGCCCACTGTACCTTTTTGCAGCATCTGCTGCCCAGGGAGGAGAGTGGGGAAAGAGACAAGGCTGCAGCTGGGTGAGGCTTTCTCTTGCCAGAGAGATGGCAGTGGGGCAAGAGGTGCTCCAGGGCCTAGCTGCCTTTGCTGGGGAAGAACAGCATAGGTGCAGATCTCCAGCTCTTCCTGGGGCAGTGGACCCTGCAAGCGTCCCTCATGAAGGGCATACAGCTCTGTCTACTGCTCCCACCAGGTGTACCAGCCTGTTGCTCACCCTGTGGCCACTCCAGTACCCAGCCAGCAGAAACTGGCTGGCTCTGTCTGTTGAATTTTCACTTTTTTTTTTTTCTTTTTTAGTTTGAGTAATCACTGTCCAAACGCTATATTAACCAAAATGCCCATATGCAATTTGACTGCTGAACTCGATATTTTGCATTGGTTATACTGTCCCTCATTCTCAGTATAATGACAGAGCAGTTTGACTTCTAGATATAACATGCTGCCTACTGTTTCAAATAGGAAATCATCCTGTACCTATTTCAACATGTTAAATACATCATCTGCATTCATTTAGAGAACATCAACAATTACTTATTTTGTCTTGTAAAGCTAGAAAGTATTTTGAACTTTCCAGTTTGCTATTTTATCCCTCTCAACAAGAAGCAGAAAAGAAACTCCTATATTGACTTGTATGGAATTATTTTTCAGCTTCTTCCAATATTTACAGAAATTAAATTTCTGATTACTTTACTTTTAAACAGGTGGGAGTATCCATCTTCTATAGCCATAAAAAATGAAAACCTGTGAGATTAAGTATCCCTGGAGAAGTGTATGGCAGGTGAAAAGAGGGCTTAAGTTTCCTGTTTTTTACTGTAGTGTTTTCTGTACCAGCACTCCAGCTTGCTTAAATCAGTTTTTTTCTAATTTTCTCGTATATTAATGCTCTACATTGTCTATGCCATTGAAAATGCAAGCACTGTCTAAAACGCCCAAAGGAAAAGGAAGGACTTTTGAGCTGAGACTTAAGTCCCAGTGATAATTAGATTTAAGTCTTACTGTCTCCTATTCAGAATGTAATCAATACAGCAGGTATGTTGAAAAGGCTTTCTGAAAAAGCTGTGGAGCTGGGGAGGCAGGAGGCAAATGAACTTGGCGAGCATTGGTTAAGGTCTGTGATAATAAACACAATAAACTATGAGAATAGTAGCTTGGTAAAGTTATTTGTTTATATGTTGTCACAAACTCAGTGTTGAGACAAAAAGTGCCTGCCTCAAAGGGTACCTGGCGTAAGGACAACGGGATACTTCTTTAATTAAACACATCTCATCCTTGAAGGTGGATTTTAGAGAGGGACTTGGATGAATATTTAGGAAAAGAGCTTACCAAACACAGTTTGGCAGATACTAGTGAATAAAGTAGCTGTGCAAAAAGTGTGAATTCTACCATAAAGGCTGAGATGTTCACTGAATTGTATAGAATTAAAAAATTCTTCTGTATTGCTTCTGTATTGCCTACAAGTGAGATGCAAAACTGAATCTAAATTAAAAACTTTTCATTGCATAAGTCAATAGTATACAAGGTGCATCAGCAAATTCTGGATAATCCTTGATTTTCATGTATACCGCAAAATGTATGGAAAGCATGGTTCTGATATGGCTTAAAAAGGCTTTGCACAAATTTAATTTTACTAGCATTAGTAATTTATCGTTCTTACTTACCCAGTTGATTACAAGCATGAAAGCACTATGAAGGAAAGTTCTCTAAGTCCATATAACTGCTTTGTGAGGATAAGATTACATAAAAAATCAAATTAATTGGTGATTGAATTAAGTAGAATGCTCTGTTTGTATTCCTTGTTCTCTTCCACTGTGAATTTTAATAGGCTCATAAATTTTTTTGTTTGATTAAACGCATTTATTAGACAGGGCGAGAGTATAATTTTGTGAGTGTCATTTCCATCACTCATGAAGAATTACTATAGAAATACTTAAGGCCAGAATAATTATGTTTTTAAGAAATTATTTATTGCCTTGATTATATTTTCTTATGCCTAATAAAGCATTTTGTAAGTTGAATTTTAAAACCTTTTAATTTCAGTTGCTGAATTTATTGACTAAACAATTTATAGTGGCTACTGATTAACAGATACCTTGAAGATTTCTCAAAAAACAAAACTGGCATGTAGCTCCCAATATTTGTTTGGGGTTTTTTTAGTTTTGCTGTTTATTTTGAAATCAGGAAGCCAGTTAAGTTTGGGTGAAATGGTTGGATCTAGATGCAATGAAACTGGAGTTAATAGTAACTGAACAGAAAAGCACAGGCGAGACAATTTACCTTAGAGGTCCTGAGTCACCTGAATCATGTGTGGGCTTAATTCTTATGCAAAATAATGGGAATTTCTAATCCAAACCTCAGAACTGTCATTTTTTTGACATATGTGCTTCTGCAGAACTTTTATAGCCAATGAAGGACTGCCTTTGCTACCTGCTGGTAGCTGATGGTGGACCAGTGGTTAGTTATGCCTACCCTGCAGGTCAATCATATTTTAAAAGTAAAGTACAGGTGATATACCAATCTGCATTCAACACAGAAGGGTACATTTTTAGCAAGTTAGCTGCTACCAGTCAGGCATACAACAAAAACAATGAGTCACTTTTGCCTTGTGGTGCCATTCGGCAGGAGTTAAAATATAGCTTTTGAGAATGTCAAGAGCTGTTTAGAGAGTATTTGTTATTTGACAGAACTATGATTTTGTGAAGTTATATAAACCCCAATTCTCAAAGATATGCACCCTCAACTGGGTAACAGTTTCTAAAGTGTCCGTGACCCCCTGGCTTTTAGCAGGGCTTTTGCTCTGCGGTCATCCATTGTGTTTTTGAAAATATGACCATATGGTGCCTAAACATGATTGCAGGAGTTTAAATCTAGCTCCCTGTTTTTTAAATGTTTGTCTTCACTCCTTTAAGCCTTGGCTGAGGCTCGTTTCTCTTTTAGCTTGGAAGTGTAGACCCCTAGGACTAGCAGGTTCATCCTGCAGATACTCTCCTAGATTCATGGCAATAATTGTGTGTTTGTTTGTTCTCAGCAGTTTCTGTCAAATAGGTTGGGATCAAGGCATGATTTTTCAGTGTCTATTTAAATGCTTTACTGTGAATTAGTCGGTATCTACTCGCCCAGCTCTAACATGTACATTCTCAATAGCTCTTCCAATCGCTTAAAAAGCCAGGGTCCACATAGCTGGTAGCCTACTGTGCAGAAACAGCATAGAAATGGAGGATGGGAAGGAACTCTGCATCAGTAGCTCAAGTCACCTGCCAGCACCTCCTAAAATACCTCTAGAAAATTTTCAGGCTGTATCCTAGAGCCTGGATAGGTTTTCTTGTTCTTATTCATTCCATTAGGAAGTTGTTACAAAATGTTGTGTTTGAAAAGTTATCCTTTTAATTGCAAGGTGGAAATTATTTATGGTCAGTTTTTCAGCTGCCAATGTCCTAAATACACATTTACAGTGGTGCTGATTGCTATTTTTGCTATTTTGCTGTCTGGTTTGTACCTGGACATGTTTACAGAGTAATTAAATGTTTCTTTTTTATGAGACGGAGCAATATTCTCCTCCAGCTATTCTGTAGCTTATTCCTGGGTTTATTGATTGATTATAGGCCTATTCTTGGGATGCATAAGCTATGGTTTTAAATATGTATGGTTGTAGAAGGCTTAGGACCCAAGCTGTCTGGCCATCTGTAGTGCTTCCCAACTATTGGGCTATCATGGGAAGAAGGGAATCAGTAACTGCTTTTTGAAAGAGAGAAAGGGACCAGTTGTTTGAACAAAAAACATATCACTGTATAAAAGAATGGTTTTGAATACTGATTTCTCATAGATGTTTGCATACAGACAGCTAAATGCACAAGGGATTGCGGGGGTGAATTTCAGGCACTTTCCTTCATCATTTTCTATTGACTAATAGAGGCATCTCACAATTTAGCTGGCTGGAAATCAAAATCGCTTCCAGCTCGCTATCTTTCAATGGGCAGAGAGTTTAACCATTTATTGCAGCCTTGTGAATTTGATTTATGGAGTTGGATATCCAATTTTATCACTGTATTGAATATTGAAATGCATGAATTCCTGTTTGGTTACCACCTTTTTGTGTGGGGCCTGTGCTATGTTATTTAATCCATCTTTGTTGAAGGCTAGTTTGACATGCTTCTTATTGTCTTTGTATTTGCATTGAAAGAATCTTTTGATATTACTTTGTTTTCTTTCCTTATTGGTTTTTTGTTTCTCATTTATGTGGCATAATTGGTGAAGAACGGCATTTATTATTTTGAAAGACTTCTACTACTCTTTTATTTTGCAGAATATTCCCTCAGGGGACAATCCATTTAGTTCAGTCTGTAGCCTTGTTTACAGACTGAAAGTGGAAAATGATAAATTAATTTGAACAGAGGCAAGGAGGTTAGCTTTTGAATTTTATTAGTGGATTGTATGTCCCTTCACAAATTGCTCTGTTTCATGAGAAAAGTCTCTCTCTAAACTAGTGGTAGTAATATGTGGGAAATAAGGGGAGTTGTGAGGCTAATTACTATCCAAAAATTGGCTGAGAATTTGCAAATGCAAAGGACTATACAACATTTCAAAAAATTACTTCTGTGGGATAATTATGGCTAAAATTTGTTGTGGTTGTAACAGAATTTGTTCATATACTTGCTGTCATTCTCTTCTTAGTGTTCTGGGCCTAGCTCATGATGAAATATATGTTGTTAATCCTGTTTAGAAAAACCCATACTAATTTCTACCATGGTTGAAAGCACTGAAG